GTGATTCAGGAGTTTGCATCAATGATGTCATAGCTTTAGATGATGATGATCATCAATCATTGAACTCTAAGTGAGTATCGATGATTGTGATCAAAGGAATTTGAAAGAGACAATCATTGACAATTTCATCTTTCCTTCCTCAACAATTCATCATCTTTAGCATCAATCAATTCTCCTCAAGTTGCAAACAGCTTATCAATCGTATTTCTCCACCTAAGACCGGTGAGTAACAATGGCCTTTTCTTAAAATTAAGAAAAGAGAATAAAGGGCGATAAAAGTATGAATTAATGCTTTTCGACTTTCTGCAAAATATTTTTAGAAGCATTAAACAAAAGTCAATCATCGCATTAGAATTAACCTTTACCAGATCGATTGATCCAATCATAGTAAAGTAATTCTTATCAATATAAAGGAATGTTAAATGAAATAAGAACTGATCAAGTTTGACTCTTTGATCATTAGCTTATTATCGCTCTTGCTCGACAAGCTTTTCTTTCTTATTCTTTTATAAAGTGTTATTATCCTTGCAGAGTTTTATTCTGCCTTCAGGTAATAACTCAATTATTTCTTTATCTTTTCATTTATAAAATTGTATTTCCTTATAAAATCATTTAACTTATAAAGAAATGAAACCTTCAGTCTTCAAATTCTTTCACAATGTACAGTTACCTCATTGACTGGAAGGGTTTCCTTCCAATCAATGAGGTACATCTAATTCATCAACCAGAAGGGAACCCTTCTGGTCAACAAGGCATTGTGCCCTGTTGATCAGAAGGGTTTCCTTCCAATCCACAAGGTACATCCTTGTTGAACGGAAGGAAACCCTTTGGTACACAATTGTTTACCGGAAGGCTTTCCTTCTGGTTGGTTCCCTCAAGGCTGTACAGTCTTGGGGCTGGGAGGGGTTCCCCCCAGCCTCAAGCCCCTTTTTTTCTTGAAACCACTCAAGGCAGCACTTACAAACAGCTTTTTTTGGAGATTTTTATAATTTTTTTTGACATTTTTTTTGTTTTTAAATAAGATGATAGTCAAAGAAAATCAAAAAAAAAAAAAAATCACAAACAAGATGCAAAAGGACTGTAATGAAACTTGCAGCCAAGTTAAGTGAGAAAAAAAGGGCAAGTGCCACCGGTATCCGCCAAAAGTACTGCCAGTACCCACCAGGCAGTACCAGGTGCGGTACATGGTACCTATTTTCTTAAAAAATTGAACAGGTACCTAGGTACCAAGAGGTACCCCAGTACAGACAAACGATCTCTGGCAGATATTTTTGTATTGTATCTTTTTTCAGATACTTCAAAGAAATATATTGTGTATTGTATTTGGCATCAGATACAATACATTTGTATTTAATCAAAAAACTACAAAATATTTTTTTGGCCATTTCAGACTGTTTTCCAATGTTTTTCGGAAAATACAGTATTGTACTTTTTGGTATTGGGCAGTATTTTTGACCAGATGCAATTATTTTGACAGAATTGTATTGTATCAGTTTTTCAATACAATACAGATGCAATGTATTTGGAGGAAAATAGATACAGATACCAATAAATACAGATACATGTATTTTATTGGTTTCACCGTTTCTAGATGGGATACACTTGCATGGTTTATGAAGAGAAAAAAAGCATCCCTTATCCTTGTGGCAATTATTGGTTAGCTGAAAGGGTTGATGTTCATATTTTTATGATAAGCTGGAGTGAAAATTCAAATAGTAAGACAGCCAAATGAGGGGAAAAAACTTGAATTTTTCTTGATTCTCCAATTAGACCTTAATAGACTTGGATCAATCATTTGGATAGCAGCTCATTTTTTGTTCAGGAACTGTTTTGTAACTGGTAGTAGTGGGTAACAAATTTATACCCCACTAAACCAGGATTAAACACTCTTGACTACCCTTGGATTAAGCAAGATCAACACTCCTCTGTATAGCATCACCACTCCACCACTCCAGAAACATGCCACCTACATAGAAAATCTAAAGAAATCCATAGCTTGCACCTTGGGCAGGGGAATCAGATATCATTTCCCAGGAGGTTTATTTGGATAAAACATGATAGTTTTTGTCAAATGTTCTTTGTCTCAACTTTTGAGTATTTGTTTGGTCATGTGGAAGTGTGTTGTTGAAGGTTTTTGCAACACACAGTTGGGCTAGGTTTGCTGCATTCAATCCCCGTACGGGTGCCCCGGGGGTTTAGTCAATCACACTGTGAGCCTGGGTCTCTATAGTGACAGCAGGACACAAGTTATGGGGGGCACTTTTATATGTATTTCTTAAGAAAAGAGGGATACAAATAAAAGTAAGAGAAAAGGGAGAAGAGAAAAGAAAGAATAGAAGAATGTTTTTGTTCTTTGTTTATTTTATGAAGAAGATTAAATTCTGGCAGTCTTACTGTCCTTTTTAGGATAGCTGCTGACAGTCTTATTTTCCTTAGTAGGATAGCTGTTCTAAGCGGAGCTAACTCTGACGCCTCCAAATCAACAGAAACTGAAATGGGTTATTGACTCTGATAAATCAGATCAACCACAATTTTTTAGATCAGGAATGATCAGGGTTCTTTAAAGGGAAACCTATGTAGTTTTCAGTTTTACTACCAAACAAGAAAGGAGGAGAATCTTTGAAGCTTATGGAGCTTTGGTTGATCAGGGCTTTTGGTTTATAGAAAGAAGAGAAAAAGGTGAGAGTGACAGAGAAAGAAAACAAGCAGGAAGATGCTAGCTGGACTTAAAGAAGTAACTTACTGATGACACCAATGGCACTGAGTAGTGGGAAAGGCAGGAAAAGTAAGGTTCTTCTGGTTGATAAGTGTAAGCTGGATCTGGTACTGGTTGTTGTTGTTTCTGGGTGGTCTGGAGTCTGAAAATCCTCTGGAAGTGGAATCAACAAGCTCAGAGAGGATTTTCAAAGTTGGATTATGTAATCTGGCATGTACATGTGGTAGAGGGAGCTGAAACCTAAAGGTTGGAATAATTCTTGGAGTACTGTGAATTATTACAAAGTCAATGAAGGAATGGAGTTGGTTAAAAGTGATCAGTGGTGACTAGGGTTAATTTTACACCAGGAATCCATTTCTGAAGTCAGAAAGGTTAAAAGTCTTAAGATAAAAAAGATAAGATAATATTTTGAGTAGAAATGGGCAGTTTTGGCAGTCTTTTGGCCAGCTTGGTTGGCTCTAAGGCTGACAATCACACTGGCCAGAGTCTTGGCCACCAAGCTGGTGAGCCTTTCAGCTGTGAGCGAAGTCTTCGAGGAACTCAGCCATGTCAGAAGCACTCATGAACCAACTCATGTCGGTCTCAGCAGGGGAAAGTCAAATACTAGATGGGGAAGCGAAGGACATAGAGACCTATGGGAAAGCCGGGCAAGCCGAGCCATCCAAGAAAGAAATAAAAACACCCAACCACTCGACCTACTTGACCTGGAAGACCTGTTCGAAGGCAAGGACGACTGGGAAACTCCTCCCCAACGATGATGACCAAGCTGATCTCAAGAGAAGCATGCTCAAGTACGAGCAGCACGGCAATGCTGCCCCCTGCTTCTTGTAAACTGTACATTGCCGAGGCTCCTTTACCAAACTTACCATTCCCAAAACCATTGGATGATTATAAGGTTGGTGGCAGTATTCCTATCATGTGATCCGGTGAAAAGATACTGATTTTGGATGACGGGTTCTCATTTGATGGAATGCCAGCATTGGGATATGAGGATTCCCAACTCTCTAAGCTTCAACCCATTACCATTTTTGGATGAAGAGTTCCTCAATGAAAACAAATTCAAGCGATGCCGCTAAGGCTCCAAGATATTGGAATGTGATCAGGTGGCGATGGCAAAAAGATTTGGGAGGGAATCCTGTAAGCCTGAGAAGAACCCTCAAGGAACCTATCAAGTCTAATTTTTGCTATGTGATCCTCCCCCTCACAGGTCAATCGGTCAACAAACGCGCGGATGGTATGTTGCGAGGATGGCTCACAGTCGTTACAGGTCGGCTCTGAGTTAATCGACATGATATCTATGGCAGACGGCCGACAAAACAACAGCATAACCACTCAGCAACAACCGGTGTGGAACTACTCAACCAGGGAGATAGAGCTTGGAGGGGATATAGACAACTACACTAGTACTAATGTAAGTTGATACTACAGGTGCTGTTGAGGCTGCCCTCCTGTACAATGCTAATGGGTAGAGTGTAACACTAAGAAAAAGAAGAAGAAAGGTGTGGCTGATTTCTACTTTATCTTAGACTACTATTACTGATGAGCTTGTGTATGTAGTACCTACAGAGGTGTGAGGAGGAGGAGAAATGAGGTGTGATGGGATAATACTGGCAAGGGTGTAACACTGGCAATGAGGAATGACACTGGCAAGGGGAATAATCTGGCAAATGAGGATTTATAACTGGCAATTGAGGTTTTATAACTGGCAAGGGAGGATGTATAACTGGCAAATATAACTAGCAATGATATCTGGTGAGGATATAAGGGTGATGCTAATTTATGATTTCTAAGACTATGGTTAGAGGGTACATATGAAAACTGGCATAAGGGGGAAAATACATAACGGAGGAAGAGAAGAGTATATATGTGTACAAC